ATCACCTCCCTGGCCTCTGACTGCGTGGCCCACCTTCCACTCTCCTCCACCCTGTACCAGCTGCTTCCCCAGCCTTACCCTCTGGACCACTCCCTCCAGGCCCTTCTGTGACCCACTTCAGTGCCAGCTGCCTTGCTCATATCACCTCTGAACGGCAATCCTGTGACAGGTGGCTACAGACACTTTCTGGTGCAAGTGTCCCAGCCAGCTTAGCACGGGCCCCCAGTGTCACTAGGCCTGGGCCTCAGGAAGCCAGATCCTTCCCAGGCTTATTTCCTCAACCACAAAGCATGGGGGCAGAAGCAGTCCCTCACCCTGTCTTGCCAGGAGCCCTCTGCTCCATGCAGTCATTTCTGGATCGGGGCGGGGCAGGCTGGGGGCCAGGGGTGCGCACCTTGCCTGTCCTGTTGCAGTGTATTTAATTACTGTTGAAGGCCACGCTCCCCCACCTGCCTAGCCATTAAAGTCACCTGGTATTTCACAACATGCCAATGCCCCGTCCCGCCGTGGCTCAGCATGGCTGTGGTTGAACCGTCCACTCTGGTGCATAGCCAAGACAGATGGCTTTACTGTCCAGGTACTCTCTGGGCTCTCACAGCTCCCTCATGAGTGTTTGGTGACCCCTTTTGGCCAGCGAGGTTGAGGCTGAGGTGACCCAGACTCCAAGGTACAGCTGGAAGCTGAAGTCAAAACCTCCTGCTGACGGAGCGCTGGCCTCATGATGGGCAAAGGACTGTGGCAGCTGGGGCTTGCAGGCCCCCACCCCGCCCCCAGGAAAGCCCCAACAGAGCCCCTGACAGTGACAGCTCTTTTCCGGGAGAGGCCAGGCCTGGGTGGCGGGGTGGTTGCAATGGCAGCCTGTACCCACCAGAGGGCACCCTGGCTCCGCACTGCTCAGCTGGACTCAGCTCTGCGAACCAAATGCTTTTTAATTGAAAATTTTTTTAATTCAAAAAGGATTTGCTGTTTGTACTTGAGTGCAGGTTTTCCTTATGCAGGAGAATAATGTCTTGAGTAAACAGATCTGGGCCCAGATCCACCTTCAAAGGTACTCACTGTTTGCCCAAGGGAGTGACAGGGCTTCCAGAAGCAGCCTAGTCTCTTGGGCAAACATTGTGGGGACGAGCAATCCTGGGCAGAGGACAGCGTCTGTGGGAAGGTTATCCGCAGCCTAAGGGGGATTATGTCGGGGGACATATGTTGAAATTTCATTTGGGGAGTTAGGGAAAACAGGAGGGGGGGCGGCACTTTTCTTCAGCCAAGATAACCTAAAAAGGGAAAAAATCCTGAGGGAGAGGGGTGGGGAACAGGCCGTCTGTGCGCTGCCCCCATGGCCGGGCCCCTCGGGGTCTCTGTGTGCTCAGGCTGCAGTCAGAAAAAGGGAACGTGGTGGCTTACTCATGTACCATGGCCAGGCTACCCACCAGGCAGCCCAGGTCCCTGCCTCCATGCTGTTCCCTGGTGTCCTGGCGGCCCTGCCCCAGCCAGGGGCAGAGCTGCGCTCCTTTTGGGCTAATGGCTGTGTTGACCCACCTCCCCAGGCCCTCTACTCAGTAGGTCTGGGTTTCCATCATGCTCTTCCCCAGTCAGACCCCTGCTGTGCTCCAGAGAAATGCCACCTGACTCCTCCTGTGGCCCCATCCTTGTGTGGCTGCCCTTGGATGTGGCCTTCATGCTGGGCTGAGTTGAGACGGTCTGGGTCCCTCCCTGGGCACCCTGTGAGCCCTGGGAACAAGGGCTTTGTGGGGCTTGTGCCTGGTCCCAGCACCCAGTGCAGGGTCAACGCCAGGGTGCAGCCGACCTGAACAGCTCTGTGTGCTGCGGTGTGCGTACCTAAGCAGCCACCAGGTGGCAGCATTAGCCCAGCCCTTGCCCAAGCGGCCTGTGAGCCCCACACAGGGTGGGCACCTGAGCGCTGGCCAGGAAGCAGGAAAGCAAGAGGCCTGGGCTCTGATGGATGGGCAGGCAGGGATCCAGTGAGTGCTTGCTCCTTTCCAGGGACAGGAGCCCCAAGCTACTGTGCCTCCTGACACCCTCAGGCATCCCTGGGAGTGGAGGGCCTGCCTGAGGCCCCCCAGGGCTCCGAGGCTCGAGGCCCCAGCCCCAGCGCAGCCCTGCAGCAGTCCCCTCCCTTCTCCAGTGGGCTGTAGCTGGGTGGACCCTGCAGCCCTCAGCTCAGCATCCTCCGTGACTGCACCTCCCCGCTGCGGGGTCAGCAGGCTGGAGGCCGGCTCGCCAGTGTGCCAGGGCATGCGGACAGCATGCTGCGGCTCCTGCTGCCCTCTCCCTGCAGGCCCACCTGCCGGTCCTGAGGCGCTGCCATCCTGGGTAGCCCTCTGTTCAACCCTGGGGGGCCCTTCGTCACGGCTTTTCTGTGGCTGAACCTTTTTACGTAGGTGACCACTGGCCCAGCCCAGGCCCCGGTTCCTCAAACCCACATGAGCGAGGGCACAGCTGCCCAGCGAGCTCCAGGCTGCCCCACAACCCCACCCAGCCTGAGCCTGCGGCACCCGGGATGCCACCTGTCAGGGTGGGCGCTCCTCTCCCGCCCCTCACCTGGGTGTTGAGATCCCTGGCCTCTGGGTGAACTGCAGGAGCCCGCGCCCATCCCGGCACTCGCCTTCTCCGGGAGGTCAGGCAGCACAGCCCGGCAGGCTCCAGGCAGCAGGCTGGTGCTCAGCCTGGCACAGGGTGGCTCACACGGGTTTACCATTGGGATCAGACCCGGGGGCAGAGGCAGGTAGGGACTGTGAAAGCTGTCACCTGTCACCACCCAAGCCCATCGCCTGACAGGTGTGTTCACACCTGTACACGGCTCAGACCCACAGCCCCGGCGCGCACACACCTGCCCACATCACTGCCAGCGGGCACTGGCCTGGCCGGCGTCCTGCCTGGCCTGGGCAGCACGGGGCCCCTGGGTGCACCGGGACTGACTGTGCCCTGCCCGCCCTCTTCCTGCAGTACGAGTACAGCTTCCGCACGGAGCAGAGCGCCGCGGCCAGACTCCCGCCCAGCCCCACCCGGTGTCAGCAGACCCCTCAGTCCTGAGGAGCGGGGCCTCCGCGGGGAGAAGACGCCTCACCCAGTGCCCAGACTACTGACGGGGCAGCGGGGGCCGCTCCCCGCCCTGCCCGCCCTGCCCCCAGCCCTGCCTCCACCTCCCACCCCACAAGCACCCAAGACCCTGGGCAGCTGAGTGGTGACCTCCGGTCATTGGCTCGCCTGACGAGACCCCAGCCTCCCGGGGACATTGTTCACAACTGCGACTAATCTGTGTGTGCTGTAGTGACCAGCCATTCCTAGCTGTCTATGTGATGACCAGTCGTGCTGCCAAACACCTCCCCCAGCTGGAGTCGTCCCCGAGGGCCCGGCAGTCCCTCCGGCCGCCCAGTGACGCACACTGGCTCCTTTTCTCCTGTCACCCACCATAGGAATCCCACAAGCCATCGTTCCCCCCGGAAGGCCACAGGGCTGGCCACTTCACATAGGACCCTCCGGGCTCACTGTCACCTGAGATGCAGGGCTGGGGGGAGCACGTCCCTCCCACCTACAGGCTCAGGTACACCAAGCGCTTCACAGCAGCCCTGAGAAACCGCGGGTGGGGAGGCCAGAGGGCCCCTTCCACTGTGGACAGCTATGGACTCTTCGCCCAGTGCATGACTGGACACCAGAGGCCCTGCCACTGGCACAGAGGGGGACTCACTTTCCCGGGAGAGGACAGTGTGACCGGGCACCTGCCTGCGAGCTCGGCTTGCCCTACCCCCCCAGAGGGCTTGACTGTGGGGCACTCCAGCCAGTGACAGCGCCACCTGCCGCGGCCAGTGCCCTGACCCAGTGACTACAGGACGTGCCCCACGAGGCCGCCACAGGCAGTGACATGAGAGGTGCCCAGCACTGGAGGACACGGCCACGCTGCCATCAGGCTGCTCTCAGCCCGGCTGTGTCTCCTTGGCATCTGCGGACAGAAACCCCTGACCCAGACCTGGATTGAGCCAGAGCCAGCGTCCCCCGTCCCCAGCACTGGAGGTGCCAAGCTCGGCCCCACACGTCCACCCCGAGAACAGCCGCCAGCACCCTCCCTGGGGCCCAGGACTTCAGCCCAGGGGCCTGCTTTGCCCCAGGCCCACAGGACGCGGGGTCTGACTCCTTTGGGTCCCCAGAGGGGGCTCTGGACGTGAGGGCTTGCTGCGCTTCGGAGGCGCCATGGACAGGGCTGTGGACAGCAGCCCTCGGCCAGTACAGGCCCTGCCAGCTGAAGTTCCAGGGACGGTCCACAGGCCAAAGGAACCAGAGAGTCGACAGGCTGGCCAGGAGCCGGGGGGCCCAAATACCTCACCACCTGCGTCGTCCCTCGGCCCCCAGAGCCTCAGCCGCCCGCGGCGGACCAGCCTCCTCCTCGGCAGCTCCTCCTCTTGGCCCCTCTTCGTTTCTGTGTGTCAGCAAGTGGCTGCCTGGCCCCTTCCCAAGACCTAAGGGCACCTGTGAGGTGACCCTCCCACACCTCTGGGCGGCACAAGGCCGGGAAAGGCCCTTGGCCCCTGCCAGACCCAGGAGGCCCCCTCGCGGGCCGGTGCTTCACAGGAGGGCTGGCGGGTGGAGCCCAGCACCCACAGAACCAGCCAGCTGTGCTCCAGGGCCTGGGCACCCCACAACCTGCCCGCTGCTGCTTTTTGATGGTAGTTTATCCAGCACCAAGTGGCCAGCACAGCTTGAGGCTGGACAAAGGAGCGAGGCCCCGGGGGCCGCAGGAGGTGGAGAAGGGGACTCTGCACTTCGTTTTGGTTTGTATACTTTGTTGTTCGACCTCTTTCCACCCCCTGATTGTGAGACTGTCCCCAGCAGGTAACCGGGGTCCTCCTCCTCCACAGTGGAGAAGGCAGCATCTCCGCGGCGCTGACGGTCCTGGAAGGCCACAGGGCGAAAGCAGGATCCCTGGTCAGGGATAGAGAAGGTAGACCAAGGGTGGCGGGGGAAGGGAGAGGGCAGCCACAGCCCCCACCGCCACCCTCCCTCAGGGCCACCAGGAAAAGGGCACACTGTGGGCTCTGGCCGGTAGGAGAGGTCTCCCCATGGCATTATGGACTCAGTTTGATAGTGACCTTGACTGTGAAGCTTGTGACATGAGCTGATGAGTGGTGAGGTCAAGTTGAGGTTGGTAGACATTAGGCTGCTCCCCACCCGGGCTCCTGCCCTCTGAGAGGTGGACAAGGAGGGGCAAGCGTGTGGGTCACAGCTTGTGCGTGTGTACGCCCACCCCGACGGCGTCGTGCGGACCACAGGACTGTGGCAGGGTGAGGAGCTGAGGGGCCTCTCAAGTCTTAGGTGGGGAACGCTCTGTCCACCAACCCCTGGCCTCTTCTGGAAGCGAGGGACAAGGATGCCCTTGGCTATATGAAGGGCCACGGCCTCTTCCTTGGGTCCCCCCAGCATGTCCCATAGCTGCTGCTGTCCCTGCCCAGCACCCTGCCCCCCTGAAAAGACCAACCAGAGCACAGCATCCCCGAGCCCTGCCCTCCGCCCTGAAAACTCAGTCGTCTTCTGAGACCTAGCAAATGGCACAAAGTTGACAAGGAGCAGGTGTCTCTTGCTCCAGGTTCACTTGCAAATTTATCATGAGGCCTTTTTTCTACCCCAAATCCAAGAACTCATGCCAGCCACACCCCACCCCGAGTTCAGTGAAGACATCACAGCCTGCACTGCCCTTCCCCATGGCCAGAGCCGTGTGGTCTCCAGCGACCAAGCTCATTTTGTAGGAAAAAACCACGGACACTGGTCGGTGGCCCCCGAGTGCTTCAGAAGGCCATGGGGGGACGAGGCTGACCTGTTCTGCGCAGCCCTCTGCTGGGCACAGCTGGGCAGTCCAGACGCTTTCTCCCATAGCCTCCCCCAAAACAAGACCTAGTAGTTCACGTTCTTTGCTGCCTGTTGCCGATGGGAAACCCGAGATTGTCCCTGGCACAGGCTGGTAAGTGGCAGAGACAGGCTCTGGCCCCAAGGTGCACTGGGCCAATGTCCTCTCATAAGCACATGCCTTGGGCTGACCCTGTTTGCATTCCTGTGACTTCCTGGCTGCCACTGGGCCCTGCTGGTCGCACACTGAGCACGGGCCACCCCTATGCAAGGGCTCCCCAGGCTGCCGTTGCAGTGCTCCATCCCTTGCCATGTCGGGGGCTCCCAGCCTGCAGCTTCTGAGACCCAGGCAGGCAGAGCCCCGCCGAGCGAGCCCCCGTGCCTCCAAGCCACGTGGAGCTGAGCCCGTCGAGTTCCGTTCAGTCTGCCTGACCCCGGACCCTGCAGGAGGGGCAGGCCACTTGCTCCTGCCCCTGCACGAGGCCCCTCTCCAGCAGCCTGGAACCTCAGGTCAGCCCAGCTTCCTCCACCTGCTCTGGGTGCAGACCCCTGGGACAGCGGCAGCCCTCATCCAGGAGCCCGGGCTTTGTCCCCGCGATGGAGGGTGCGTGGCTGCTGTGTGACCACTGGCCTCAGACAAGGACCTGAGGAAGGCCCCTCTTCCTGCATATTTATTCAAGGCAACTCTGCACTTGGCCAGGGAAGTTTCACTGTGTGGTTGTCTGTGTTCTTAATATAATTTGTTAAATAAACGTTCGTTTTAACCTCTCCCCGTCTGCTGTTGTATCTGCAGCCACCAGAGGTCAGTGTCTCTCAGGGCCGCCCCGTGCACCAGCCCTGAGCCTGCCCACAGGCCAGCCGGGCTCCTTGGGACACGGCCACTGCCTGGCCTTCAGCCTTCTAGGAGGGCCGTCTTGCCCCCCACCTGGTTCAGGAGGGTGTGGGACTCCACCTTCCTCACAGCAGCCCTCAGGGTGCTCTGTGAAGCAGAAGAACCTCGGTGGCCCTGAGAGCTGCACCCCGGCGAGGAACGCAGGGTGCCCTTCCGTCTCGGGTGCCTCCCGCCCTGTCTGTGGGGTGCACACCACACCTGGCAAGAGGATGCAGGTCCCGATGTCGTCAGGGCTGTCCCCACTGCTCACCTGCCTGCAGGACGCCACCCCCCAGGCCGGCTCAGGTGGCCCCTGCCCTGGCGGGCACCCACAGCCCCCTGTGAGCACCAGCAGCTCGAGTGTCACTATCAACATCTCGGCCTCCCTTAGCAGTGACCTTTGCATTTCTGGGCTCCACATCCCAGCCAGGGCCTTCCCTGCCTGCAGGCTCTGTTCTTGCCAGACTCTGTGGGAAGGAGCCAGAACTGGTGACCTGAGCTCAGCACTCATCTCCTGGGCACTGCAAGGGTCCCCAAAGAGTGCCAGGGTTCTGTCACTGTCCACAGACACACTAGATCCCTCCCACATGCTGGGCCCGGGACACCAGGGAAGCACATCGAAGTGGGGGCCCTGGACACAGGAGACACTGGCCAAAGCACAGGAAGGCGCACCAGACCCATAGGCAAAACCCACTCACACCAGCCCGGGTGGGGGTGGGGTGAGCAGACGGCCCGCAAGCATCGATCGCAGGGAACCCACAGCAGGATGGCGCTGAGCCTCGGGTCCAGACCCGGGCGCACCGTTCCTCCACCTCGCCCTGTGCCTGCCTGGACATCTGCTGGCTTCCCCTCCGACTCTCTGCACACCAGCATCAGAGGGTCCACAAGCACATGGCCACCATGTTTATCTGTCCCTAAGCCACAGTCTCATGATTCCCAATCCAGAGCCCAGGACAGACTGACAGGTTAGCTGGGCCGGGTCACCCCTTCTGCCCCTGGAAGCTCCAGCCCTGGTGGTGGCATGAGGGTATGTACACAAGCCTGCGGCAGCAGCCCTGGGATGGCAAGGGACGAGGGCACCCGATTGTCCGTGCAGCCAGGTCCTGCTGTGTAGGCACCTTCAGGTGCAGACCTCGTGCCAGCACTGCCATGAAGCAGTGACCAAATCTGGTGGCATTCCTGCCCCAGGGGAGTGGGCAGCCTGGCCTGCTCCTCCAGGTGCCCTGTCCTCCTTGCACCAGTGTCTACGTCAGCTCTCCCCCTGCTTCTCTGGCCACTCACTCCAGCTAAGCCACAGGCTCACAGCTGGGACCCTGGGCCTCCATGAGCCACCCCATTTCTGTCCCCTCTCTGTGCGGCCTGTGTCTCCGACAGTGCTCAGCTCTGTCCTTGCCCATCTCCCCGAGCTCCTGCCACGAGGTCTCCACCTGGGACCCTGTAAGCACGTCCGCACCCACAGCCAAACCTGCCGTCCTGTCTGGAACCCGAGCTGCTCTTCCTCCTCTGAACAGCTCAGCCACTCCCCGCAGCCCCCAGGCCACCACCTGGAGCCAACGGAACCACCCACTCCCAGCTAGACAGCTCTGGTCCTCAGGTGTCTTCAAACCCAGCCACTGTTTCTCTGGCTTTGCTCTGACCTTAGTGTTGGCCCAACATGGCAGCATCTGCCCTTAGCCTCCCTCCCCTGCAGAGGAGAGCCACCCGCTTCCCATCTTCCCCTCCTCCACCTCCATACCACCCACACCCAGCTAGAGACCCCCCATTTTCACTCTCTCATGCCCCTCACCCTCAGAACCAAGTCCAGACCCTTCCCTCCTGGGCCTGACACACCTGTGCACACCCCTGCGGAGCTCCTGGGGTTCCTCAAACCCTGACTCTCGCTGCCTCCTCACCTTGGCATAAACTCTTCCCTCTACCTAGGATGCCCCCCTCCTCGTTCTGCCTTCAAGACCCTGTTCCTGCACCTCCTGTGATGTCTGATTGCCCCCCAGGCCACCCTGCACAGGGTACCAGTGTCACTAGATTGTAGCCCCTGGATCCTCTCACTAGAGTCCCTGGAGGAAGAGGTCCCGTGTGTCACGTCCTGCTCCCTACGGAGGTACTCAGAGCAGCCAGCGCAGGCCTAGAAAAATGACAGGATCAGCAAATACTCTGAATGAATCCTTGGAGTGAGGGGGACAGACAGAGGAGCTCTGCTCAGTTACCAAAGGAGCCCAAGGAGGATGCCAGGGGTACAGGACCGTGATGTCCAGCCCACCTCCCTGGACAAGCCCTGATGTGGCCCCAGAGAGATGAGAGGCCCAGCGGGACAGCCTGCTCCCAGCATGGGGCTGGCTCCAAGTCAAAGAGCCCCGTGGTGCTGGTGGGACAGGAAGTGACCTGCCGTGGGCTGCTGGTTCTGTCCCTGGAGCCCAGCCCTGGAGAGGCCCACTGGAACACGGGACCCAACACTAAAACTGCAAGGGGCTGGGTCTCAGGGCCAGCAGCAGGCCCGAGCGAGATGCGGAATCCCCAGCGACAAATGGGGGCCCAGTTTTCTGACTTACCCACTCATTTCTCCCACCTTGCCCCGAGTGGGCGTAAGAAAACAGCCACGGGCAAGGTGTCAGCAGAGCCCGCCAGGCAGCTGGACTGGCCCTGAGCTCCCGCCTCCCCTCTCCCCCACCTGGGGGCAGAGAGGCGCCCAGAGGTGCAACCCTTGGGACGGTGGTGCTGGGGCAGAGGTCTTGGAAGGCTCTGACTCTTCTGATGGGGTGGAGGGTGGGGGGCCACAGGCAGAGGTGGGCACAAGTTGGAGCACCTGGCACACCCAGCCCCCACCCTCCTGTGCTCAGGAGGGGCGCAGGGGTCTTACCTCAGCTGTCATGGGAGCTGCCCAAGTGGTTGTTCAATCCTGTGCTCAGAACCACACCCAGAGCAATTAAGAGACTCTGCAGGGGACTCCGCTGTTTGCAAGGTCCCCGGGTAATACCAATGGGCAGCTCAGAAGAAGCTCCAAGTTCCTCAGCAGGTTCCCCAGTGTTACGGTTTGGATCTTAAATGCTCCCAAAAGCCCATGAATGAAGGACTTGGTCACCAGCCTGTGGCACTGTTGGGGGGGTGGCTTTCGAGGTGGGGCCTAGTGAGTGGCAGTTAGGTCACTGGGGCATGCCCCTGAGGTGATCCTGGGACCCTGGCCCTTCCCTCTCCCTCTTTTTCCCTCCCAGCCACCATGAGGCGAGTAGACCTGCCCCATGCTCACTCCCACCACGTGCTGCCTCCCCACAGGCCCGGAGCAACAGAGCCCGGTGACCAGGGACTGAAACCATGAGCCAAAGTAAACCTTTCCTCTCTTCAGTTGTTTATCGCTGGTATGATCACAGCCACAGAAAGCTCTTCTTTGAAAAGACTAAAAGATGGACAAACTTCTGACAGTAAGAAAAAAGATGTAATAATAGTAAGGAAGAGGAGGAAAAAAACAAGAAAGAAAAATAAGAAATAACTAGATCTAACAGTTAACTAAAAAGTCTTAGTAACAATAGGTCATTAAACATTTGGGGAAATATAAAACATCAAAATTAAGAAAAATGAACAACTATTAAAGATCTAAATAAAGCAGAGATTTCTCTCCTTTCCCTCACAGTATCCCCAGGACCAAATAATCATGTGGCCAAGCTCACTCAGACTCCCTGACAGGACAGTCCCTTCTGATACAACCCATTCTAGAACAAAGGAAAGGAGGAAGGCAGCCCAACTCATCTCAAGAGAGAAGTTGATCCCAAACCTGATAGAGACAATTCACAGGAACCAAAAAATTCAAGGCCTGTTTTTCTTATAAACATGGGTATAAAAATCCTTAATAAAATATTATCTAACTGAATTTAGCAGTATATATAAACTTTATGCATTTAGACTGAGTAGGGATCATTCTAAGAATGCAAGAATATTCAGCACTGGAAGGTCCACCCACGCAATTCACCCCACTAATGAGAAGGCTGCCACAGTCACCTCAACCAGTGCAGAGACCGCGTTTGGTAAACACCATACCAACAATATCTATTAGCACCATCTTCGGGACAGCGACAAGTCAAGGATGCTACTACCACCATTCCATTAAATTGCATTGGAGGTCCAAGCCAGTGCTATAAGACAAGAAAAAGAAAGTATATGGATTGAAAAAGAAGAGACAAAGCCACCACTCTCAGCAAGTTACATAATCATGTATGTAGAGAATCAAATGGAACCAAGTATTAGAATGATAGAGTTAGTTAGGCAAAGTTGCTAGATAGAAAAGCAACTCCCAGAAATGAATAGTATTTCTCTATATGAACAACAACCAAATAGGAAATAAAATAGAAAATAAGATAACCTTTTAAATAGCCCTGAAGTATCTAGGAATCAAGAAAGGCAAGACTTTTATGAAAATTTTGAACACTCAAAAGACAAAGGATATCTAAATTAACAGAAAGATATATTTCTCTTTTCTAAGACCTCTTTCCACTAGGATATTATAAGTTCTGAAGGGGTGAGAAGCTTTGTTGTTGGTGTGTACACTGTGAATAGAGCAGTGTTTGACACTAAATAGCTCCTTGCTAAATATTTGTTCATTGGATTAAAAGTGAAGATGCCAGTTCTTTTCCAACTAATATTTGCAATTCAAATCCAAATTCGAGCAAAAATAAAATCACAAATTTTTAAAGAAATTTATGCAAGACTTCTGGCAGAATTTCACAATGTTATTCAAAAATTCTAAGATGTTTATGGAATAATGAAAGTCTACATTAGACACTTAAAAGGAAATAGTGCAAAGAGGGATTCATTTTTAGATATAGACACTGCAAAACTAATAAAAACAAGTGATACTTTAAAAACAAGTGGTACTGTAAAATGCTACAAATAGGGAAGGTGATATGGATTC